CTACTGGGATAAAATCAGAACTTAAAATATCCTGAGGACCTTCATTTTCACTCCCACCTTAGAACTCCCCATCTATATTGCTCGCTGACGACCAGTGCCGCTGCGAGGGTGTGCAGAGATGACCCCCATCCCAAGTCGCCCCACTGCACCGTGCCACCGGCTCTGAGGGAGCGCGTGCCCCGTGTCCCTTCCAAGGGAGGGCCGGCCACGGCTCTGTCGGGCTCGGTCACCTTCAGGCAGTGCTTGCTGCTGTCTCATAAGCCCAGATTTCAGGGGCATGCGTAGTTCACGCAGGCGTTCCTTTCCCATGGCTCTGGCTCCCCGGCACACAGCCTCCCGCCATGTGTCCGCTCCTTTCCGCACCCAAACCGAGCGCTGCGAAGGGAAGGGCTGGGGGAGAGGAGAGGAACGCCATCCCGAGCGTCTGCATATGCCGACAGGTAGAAAGACTTCAAAACCGATAAACATCTGAGAGCGGCCACCCTGAAGTCACCCTCCCGCAGATGCTCCCCTGCGTCAGTCCGGAGTGTTGTCCCGTGAGCGGGAGCAGCGGTGCAGCAGAGCTCAGCCATGGCGCGGTGCGCTTCCCCAGCAGCGGCAGGCTTGGCCCACGCTATTTTTGCACTGCTAGTGGGGACTGACTGGTTCTGATGGGAGCCAAGAGAATCTGCTATCACCTGCAGATAATAGAGGGAAGAAGATAGTTCATTCCTATCCCAAAAGCAATCTCCGCAGGCGGGTTTTGAGACAGGTTTCCAACCACCTCCCTTCGGAGACCACCAAGCAAGCTTTAAAGAATCCTTTATATTTTTAGCAGCAACATAATAGTCGTGGAAATTTAATAAACTTCACCATCAAATATTTATCCCATTACAGTGGCTCAAGTAATTTAAGCTGCTGAAATCAACATTGTGGTTTTATTTTTAATCAGCCTTGTGTAAAACAGCCTCTTCTATCAGTGTCAGGTGCGTACGGAACAGTTGCATTTACTCAAAGCGTTTTTAATCTCCCCAAAGAAATGATGGTAAATAATGTACAACATTTACCAAAATGTTACCTGTCACCGGTAGAAAATCTAGCCGGGGCTGGG